ACTGCGCGAAGCCAAGGACCCACACTTTGCGGGGCACGTCCCAGGGGCTCAGCCGAAACCTGCGACACGGCCCTCCTCACGCCCCACATCCGTTTTTCCTGCATCCGTGCCTTCTGCACGTAACATGACACGGAGGATCTGTCATAACTCCAGGGCGGGAAGGCAGTGCAGCCCAGGAGGTGCCCCGCCAGAAAGGGTGTTGCCTCCACCACCACCCCGCCCCTCGGGGGGAGCAGCCGACAGGGCAGAGGAGGGGCCGGAACGCCACCAGAGCCCACGCAGAGTCACCCTCTCACGCCCAGCCCCCAGCTCCTGCAGGGTGGTCGTCTCAGGGATGTGTTGAATGGGAGGCTCAGGGCTGCTCGAAGTGCTCGGAGCCAAGATTCCCACAACCAGGGACAGCAGGTTTCAGGTCCTGGACACACCAGGGGCCGGGGCGGGTCGCCTGGTGCCCTGCAGTGTGCGGGCTCTGGGGCCCCTGAACGGGGGTGGGGGGGTCCCTGTGAAGCCCCCTTGCTGGAGCCCCCGGGGTGGCCTGGGTTTGCTATTGTGAGCACCGGACACCCCTTCCTGTGGACTTCTGGGGTCCCACTGGGGTCTGGGTGGAAAGAGCCTCCACCCCCACCCCAGGCAGCCCAAGGACCCTCAGAGAGGACAGGCCTGAGGTGTGGGACCCCCGCAGCCCTGCCCCCCGCCTCTCCTCTCCCCGTACCCTTCCCAAGGAGACAGATGGTGGTGGAAGCGCTTCCTTCATTTTCCGGAACGTGACTCAGATGCAGCTGCCCTCTCAGCCCCAGCAGCAGCCTGCAGCCGGCAGGGGGCCAGGGGCTCCCAGAGCCCTCCCCAGAAAACCCCACCTGGAAAATGCAGGGCGGAGGGGCTGGACACTCCCTGCCAGAACCCCCCTACCCAGGCCACTCACGCCTCCCTGCCTGCTGCTGGCACGAGCACCCTACCCCCAAGTGGTAGGGGGAAGCGTGTCCCGGGCCCCCCAGGGGTCTGGGCTGCCGGGTGGGGGGTGGGGGCTGGGCCCCCCACGGGCTGCGGGGGGGGAGTGGGGGCTGGGCCCCCTCGGGGTCCAGGCTGCGGGGAGGAGTGGGGACTGGGCCGGTGGAGACACCTGCACCGGTGCCTGGCTGAGCTCTGCTTCTCAGGGACGCAGCCCTGGCCCAGCGGAGGGCTGGGGGGTGGGGCGAGGGCTAGCAGGGCATCCTGAGAGAGGAGGACTAGAGAAGTTTCCAGATGCAGGAGGTCCCGCCAGCAGCGGTCAGTGTGGAATGTTGCAGGAAGTAGGCAGACCGGCCTCCTCCCAGGAGAATGTGAGCCAGAGGCTGAGCAGGGCAGACGTCACCCAGGAATACCCCCGCCAAGGGACACTAACTGCTCTGAGCTCAGGATGCCACTCCACCTCCCCCCACAAGGATTCCCCCTGGAAGTCCCCAAAGATACTCTAGGGTGGGACCTGGGGAACCTCCGCTGGGCGGGGCACTGCTGGAACTGCCACCAGCTTCTCCCTGCCAGCCCACCCCCTCTCTCTGCCTCTCCTGTCTCGAGCTGTTTCCCAGGACTCAGATACACACAGGCACACACAGGCACATACCTGTCTAACCTGGCAGGATGCTGAAAACAGAATTCTCTTCCCAGAGAGCCACCATGGCCCCCACCCCACCCTCTCATCCCACCACCCTCCCCCACCCCCAGGCCCAGGTATCAGCTGCAGAAACTGAGGCCCAAGGAGGTTAACACCCTTTCCAGGGCCAGTCTAGGACCCTAGACCCCAGACTCTAGCCTGCAGTTCCCTCCGTGGGGACATCCCCTCATTTCGGCCTGGGCAGATCCCTAGGAGCTAGGATGGGCCTGCATGAGGGACACCAATGCTGACAGGTCCTGGGAGGCCCCTGGGCCCTCCCACACCCCCCAGGGGCCCCTGACAGCTTCACCCAGATACCTGCAGAATCCAGCACCATCCTGGGGTTCCTCTCAGGCCTCCTTGACTGGGCTGCTCCCCACATGAGCCTCAGTTTCTTCATCTGTAGGTTGGGGATGTCAAGATCCCCCACTCAGGTCCCAACCTGCCCTCCAGGAGGAAAGGGGTGGGTGTGGAGGTGAAGGAGCTGAGGGGGTGGTGCTGGGGGTTTGTTTTCTCTAAGGTGGGAGATGCTGACTTCAAACTGGAGCTAGTTCCAGAGGGAGACATGGGACGTGGGCTCCAAGCACCTGCCTTCCGTGTGGCCGAGAGCAAGCCCTTAGCGTCATGGACCCCGGGTTTGCCCATCTGCCTACGGGTGACACCTGCAAGGCAGAGCTGTATGAGGGTTGAAGGAGCTGGGTCTCAGCAGGTGCCCTGCGTCCCAGGCTGAGTGCCTGCTGTGTGCGTGCATCGCCCTCGGAGCCCTTCTAGGGCAGGGCTGGGCCTCCTCGTCTCTTTGTCCCCCTGGCTGCCTGCTGCACGTTCTGAGGCCGTGGGCACTGCCCACATCCATCAATGAGGCAAACCACAAAGCCGGGCTGCACTGAGCCACCCAGGGAGGACCACAGCAAAACCCAAGCTCCCAGGTCCCGGCCGCTGGGTCTGCCGCTCTGGCGGTTTTAGCGCAGGGCTGTGGGGAAGGGGGTTCTGGGCTTTCTCTGGATAGTCATAAGCTGCGTGGGGACTGTGGCCTCAGAGGAAGGCAGCACAGTGGTGGAGACAGGGGTCCCCAACCTTTGTAAATTGCCAGCTGTCCCCAGAGGCCTAAGCTTACTCATTCTTAGCCCAGACTGGGCGTCCTGGCCGCCTTCACCATCCGGCACCCGCGACTCCCACCATCTTCCCAACAGCCAGGCGGTGGCCTCCTCCCCTTGCAGGAACCAAAAGCTGGCTCCCCAACAAACTCCCACATGTGCACCCTACTGTCTAACTCCCACCAGGCCCTGCCAGCCCAGCCCTCATGTCACAGCCTCCCCTGGCCCTGCCGCCCCTCTCTCCCCGCTCCAGAGGGATCTGTGACATCACAAGTCAGGGTCCCCACCCTCATCCTTGCTTAAACCGCAGTTCCTTCCCCCTGCTCTCAGAGTAAAACCTACTTTCCTTAAACAGTATGGAAATTCCTTAACAAACTAAAAATAGAGCTACCATATGATCCAGCAATCCCACTCCTGGGCATATATCCTGAGAAAATTGTAATTCGAAAAGATACATGCACTCCAGTGTTCACAGCAGCACTATTTACAACAGCCAAGACATGGAAGCAACCTAAGTGTCCATCCACAGATGACTGGATAAAGAAGATGTGGTACATTTATACAATGGAATACTAGTCAGCCATAAAAAAGAATAAAATAATGCCAATTGCAGCAACATGGATGGACCCAGAGATGATCATATTAAGTGAAGTAAGTCAGAAAGACAAATATCATAAGATACCACTTATCTATGGAATCTGAAAAAAATGAGACAAATGGAGTTATTTGCAAAATAGAAACAGACTCACAGACAGAAAACAAAGTTCCAGCTACCAAAGGGGAAAGGGGGGAGGGATAGACTGGGAGTTCGGGACGACCGTACATATACACTATTGCATATAAAATAGACAAACAGCAAGGACCTACTCTATAGCACAGGGACCTGTATTCGACATCTTATGATGACCCATAATGAAAAAGAATCTGGAGAAGAATACGTATATGTAACTGTATCGCTTCGCTGCACACCTGCAACTAACACAACACTGTACATCAATCAAACAAATCAATAAAGTCAGAATCATACTCTCCTTGTCCTGGGTGACCTTCTCCAATGATTCTTGCCCCTCCCTCCCCTTGGTGTGTCCAAAGGAACTTTCCCTGCCCCCAACAAAGCGGCCCAGTCACCACCAAACCTGGACTTCAGCCAGGTCATTGGTAAGCTGCTGGCAGCTGGGCCTCACCTCCTGCTGGGCCTTGGACATGGAGCTCATTTTTGCAGGCGGCAGGGGAGTTGCTCAGAAGACTTCATCCAATCCTCCCCCAGTCCTAGGCAGGAAGGTCACGGGTATCCTCACTTTGGGGGGGGGGGCGTGGGGGGGAGCGGGGAGGTAGTGGGGAGCCCCAGCTCTGAGCAGCCAAAGCCAGGCAGCTTATAAGCAGCAGAGCCAGGATCTGGGTTGGGCCACTGGACCATAGTGCCCACTGTCCACAGGGACGTAAGTGGCCTCCAGCAGGGCCCTCCCCAGGCAGGCCAGGACAAGCCCAGAGCTCTGGAATTCAGTACCATGGGAGGTACTCCCTGTCTGCACAGGGCCCTTCTGGGCGGTGGTCAGGCCACACCCATCTCTCAGGGCCTCTGCACACCCCCAGCACAGCACACACACAGCCCGCCCATCGCCCCTCTCTCTGCTCCCCCTCAGCTGCCGGTGGGTGGTGACTCACGCCTGAGTCAGCAGCTTCAGGAGAGGACATGGCCACATCTTTGCCAACACAAGCGGCGGGGGATCCAGAAAGGCCCTGTGAGCTGGGATCAGCAGGGACCCCCGGATAGGAATGAACCAGTCACACCCAGTGCAGTCTCGCCCCGCAGCCCTGGAGCCCTCTCCTGGGAAAAATTGATTCACACACAAAGCCCACCCTGGCGGTAGGCTGGGGGATGCGGGGGGGATGCGGGGGGGGGGGGGAGGGGCGAGGCCAAGGACAGCCCAGCCGGTGGAAGAGGAACCGGATACAGTGAGGGGGGGGTCTCCCCAGGAGGAGCCTTCTGGGCTCACTCAAACTGCAGCCCCCCACACGCTCCCCACTGGATACCTGCCCACTCACACCCCCACCAAACATTGCCCAGCACCCTCCGAGCCAGGGCCGGAGCTGGGCGCAGATGAGAAAATAGGGCGGTGCCTTGGTGGGTGCAGGCATGGGGGGCAAGGTGATGGGGGATCCTCAGACTAGATGGCGGGAAGAAACGGGGAGGAGAGGCGAAGGGGTCCCAAGCAGCTAAAGCAGGGAAGGGGCATCTCGCTGACCCCCTCCCCACCGTGCAGCTGTGGGTCTGCTCTTAAGAAGGTATTCAGTGTGCAATAGACAAATGATCCAATGTAAAATGCGGAAAAGACAAAACGAACGTCCGTGAGAGCC